CCGTTCAAACAGCAAGCTACCACTCCACCCACCGTAAAAAAAACAAAACAAGAGCACCATAAAAAGCTCAAGCTTCCTTTCTGCGGCATGTCAGTGTGCGTACAAGCCGCCGTCCGCCATCGCCAGCGACACTGCGGCGTTCGTGCCGAGCCCCGCCGCACCGCGTAGCGCGTCGCTGCACTGGGAGGGAGCCATTGCGCGGGCCGGGCACGACGGGGGCACTGTGCTTGGGATATACGGCCATCGTCCGCGCACCCTCCGCCCAGCATGCGCCAAGTCGGTGCAGGGCCTTGCAGGCATTGCTCGCCTCGACAGCCGTAAGGGGGGCACCATTGTGTTTTTGTTGTACTCTTTCTCGGTCTTCGTTTTGAAGTGAAGCTGAGGCGGAAGAGAAGTGGTAATGCATGCATTTTGCTGTATTGGCACAGTGCCGCTGCAATTGTGAATGCAAGTCGCATTTTTGTCGCGTCATGCGCGTATGGGCGGGTAACCTGCGGGTGTCACAGCCGCATCTCAGGGGTGCGCGGAGGAATGCGACAAGAGTGAGTTGTGTGCCGTGGTGCTGATTAGAGCACTTCCATTGTCAACGGTCAGTTGTAAGAGGAAGTCCATCTCCCCCACAGCCAGGTCCGCCCGTATGCGATGAAGGACCTCAGCGCATATGACAGGATTCAGGAGTTGCCCAGTCGGCAGGCGTCGTTTCCCCATGATCCATTCGTGAAGAAGAAAGATGCGTTTGCGTACAGAAAATGCGTGTTGCTCTGCCCGTTCGAGACGCTCTTTGGCTCTAAGTAGCTGCGTACGCCTGGCCTCCTGCTCGCGCTTGCGCTCCTCTCGCCGATGTTGCGCTTGCTGAGCGGCGTGTGAGGCAGCTTCTCGCAGTTTGTCGTCCGCAGAGCACTGCAGCTGCGATGCCGCAATTGTGTAGGCCGTTGGAAGGTAACGCGCGGGGAAAACAGCGACGTAATTGGACTGAAGCCAACACGCCAAGGTTTGAAGCAGGGAGGCGGTGGCGGAGTTGGAGGGGTTGCCCCCAGCGATGCGCACCACAACTTTCTCAAGCAGACTGTTCCGGTCCTCAAAGCCAGCGGAGCAGCAGCCTGTCAGAGCACACAGGGCACCAACGTCAGCCGATGATACGGTCTCGGAAGACGACAGCGGCCGTGTGCGGTGCGCCGCCTCCGCGCCGCCTGCGATGGTTGGCGCGCGCAGGATGTCTTGAAGCCTGCGCCGTAAGGCGAGGCTGCGGGAGGCGGCCTCCTTGTGCTTTTGGGCTGTTATGCGTGCGCGGATCTGCGCCAGCAGGCACTGTGCGTTCCGTTCCGTCAGGGACATTCGCTCCACCTGCAGCTCCTTAAGGCGGAGCAGGTGCCCCACCAGTTGCTGCTCCCGGAGCTCATGAGGCAGCCGCCGCCGCTCTGTCGGCTGCGCAGCGTCAAAGCGGGGGGGATCGATAAAAGCCGCGGAGGCCCGCAACGCGGCCTCTGTGCCAGTGGGCACGGGTTCGCATTGCGCCATCTACTCGCTATTTTCGCGCGTCGGAAGGCACCCGCAGGTCCCTGCGTTCGTCTACGCCCTTCGCCGTTACCCCGCCCAGTAGAAAGAACTGATTGCAGGGCGGACCGAACAGGAGAAGAAGACGAAGAGGAGAAAATAGTGCTGGACTGCGGCAATCACGACAATGAGGTCCAAGTTTGGGCCGGTGCCATGAAACAGAACGGGTGATGGCGAGGCTGCGCCTACTCCTTTTCACACCACCAACTTCCAGCGTCATCGTCCCTCATTTTTGTTTTTCCTTCTTTCTTTCGTTCTCCTCATTTTACCGTCGTTCCTTCGTTTTCCCTCAAATTGAATGCCTACCGCTGCTTGCTGTCGTCGCCGCTCAGCGAATCCTGTAAGGCGTCCACCGTGTAGCCATAGGCGTCGGCGCCGTCGGAGGACTTGCGCACCTGCAGCCCCTTCACCTCCAGCCACATGTCCATTGGCGTGACAAAGAGGCTCTTCTTCTTCGCGTCGCGGTACTTCTCGTAGAGTTCCCGGCTTCGCTTCTCAATGCGATCATAGTCAATGAGGGAGTAGTGCGCCTTACTTTGCCCACTCGGCCTTCGCACCTTTAGCTCGACGGAGGGCCAGTACTCCTCGCCCAGTTGCGCCTTCCGCGCGTCCGAGAGAAGCTCCGAGAGCTTGAGCGAGCCAAATGTCATGTTATCCTTCTGATCCTCGTACTTGTCGGAGTCCAGCATCAGCACCCCCATGCCCACGCGACCCTCCGCGAGGATCCGCAGACGGCGCTCGGTCTGCATGTCCACAAAGGGCGCACCGTTGCCGTCCAGGCGTTTGAGGTCGTGGATGCGGCAGCGCAGGGAGACGTTGCGGTTGTGTACGTCGACCATCCGCTGGTACCAGCCCTGCCAGTCGTACCGCTTGTGCTGCAAATTGTTGTAGTGCTCGACAAAGCCCACTTCTGTGGGGACGTTGAACTGGAAGGGCTCCAGTCCAATGGGGCCGATGCGACGCCGCGATCGCTGCGCCATCGCGGCCAGACCCGCCTGAGGAACATACGCGAGACGTATGAAAATGAAGAGCATGGACCTTAGCGCACCCATGGGGTCCTGCACGGCTGCCGGATCAAGCACACCCGCCCGCACCCAGTTTGGGTGCCGGCTAGCGACAGCCTCCAGCACGCGTGCAGTCACGTTCTCGTCCAGGGACGGCCGCCGCACAAGTCCCTTGCTTCGAATCGATGACACCGCCTGGTCTAGTTCTGTCATGTCCACACCCAGCTGACGGAGAATGTCACACGCCTGGTCCACCTTCTGGTAGGAGGAGAGCTCCCTCACAATGCGATCGAGCTTGAGTTTTTTGTTCAGCTCTCGCTCCTCGCGTGCCGCAATGATGCCTTGAAGCTGATTCACGTACTCCTCGGAGAACAAGTGGCGTGACACGCCCTTGGCGCCAATCGCGTTTTGGACCAGCTTGCTAATAGCCAGCAGCACGGTCTGGTCACACAAAAGTGTCGTCGCCAGCCGCCGCCAGTTGTTTGCCCAATCCACGCTTTGCATCACGGCATCCCAGTCCATGGCTGTGGTCACTGGGGTGCCCAGGATCTTGGCGACCGTGTCACGCACGGCGACGTCGGTTCCCGCCGTGAGAGAAGAAAGCAGGGTTTTCACCTCACTCGTGCTCTCAAAGCGCGCGGCCGCCTCCGCAACGTCATCCTCAAGGCTTGTTTGGTTGCTCTCCATCGCCTCACAGAGGGAAACGTCACGGCTGAGGTCGTGCAGCCCGCGCTCCCGCAGCAGTTTGGAGAACTCGCTCGAGATGGGCGGCTGCAGGAGCGCCTCCACCGCCCTGGCAACGAAGCGGCGCTTCACCACCGGGCTAAGCAGCTCCAGGTGGGGGCGCCGCCGCTCTGCAGCATGGGAGGGGCGGATGCCCGCAGCCAGGCTTTCCGCGGACTCCTTCCACTCCCCCGCCGCCGCCAGCCTGCCGCCCTCGCCGATGCACACAAGCGTTAAAAAGAGCGCAACCGGGGCCGTCACGTCGGGAACCCGCACAACGTCTTCCTGCAGCAGCGATTCCCAGGCAAAGCGCAGCGTCTCGGGAGTGCCGCCGCCAAAAAGGTCCGCCTTGTGCGACTCCACCGCGTGGAAAAAGACCTGCCACACGGCGTCTCCAAAGCCAAAATAAGCCTCGTTACCCATGACATCAAGCAGATGCTTTTGAATGTAATCGTTGCGTCGCAGCGTGGTTTGGCGTCGTAGCGCCTCAACTGCGAGGGCAGCTTCCACTCCGCCGAACGACATGGTTTGCATCTGCTGTAAAGCCTCGCTACAGATATGTGAGAGTTTAGCTTCAAACGTGGGCCGATCGCAAAGGTATTGCAATCGTAGCGCGTTGGCCTCGTCGGTTAGGGTGTTCCAGAGTTTTATGAGTCTCTGTCGATCCACCTCGTCCGAGGCTAACTTTGGCACCGCAACCTCCTCAAAGCGCGACAGCAAGGACTCCGCCGCTGGAGACAGGGGCGGCACATCCGGGACCTGCAGTTGCCTCAAATAAATCATAAGCCGCGGGTGCTGGTCGCTGAACCAGTACTGCATACTCGCCCACCTTCTGTCAAGTGTGCTGCATTCATCCACGGTGGGCGCCGCAGTGCTGTGCGCCTGCGAGACGGCAGACTCCGGCTCTCGGCTCGGCTGGTTCGGCAGCGTACGCACGTACGGGTCCCTCTCACTCGTCCCAGTCCCCTCATGCACCTTCGTGCGGAACAAATCCGCGGCAGGGGCAGCCACCGTGACAGAGTTCGGAAAGTTGACGGAGGAGGGCTGCGCCACCGAGGCGTGCTGCACAACACCGGCGCCGTGAGTGCCTAAAATGAGACGCTCACGCCCCTGCAGCTGACGGAGCCCTCGCGTTGAGGCATAAAAACGCACGGGCCACCGGTCGCCCCGTCGCAGTAACGGTAAAGGACGCCGTGCACGCAGCATCTACGCCTTGCGGCCAAGGAGCCCTCCCAAAGACTGGAAAAGACAAAAGAACCAAAGACAAACAGGCAACGATCACCAGCTGCTAAGAAGACAAACAAACGCCATTTACCCCCCGTCCACCGCCCCATAAAAAAAAAACAACAAAAAAACAACAACTTCCTACACTCTGGCTACATGGACGCCTCATAACACAGAACTTTCACAGAGTAAGATACACACGGAAAAACCCATTACTTTATTAAAATGCTCACTCAAAAAAAGAGCTGACTCGCGAAGCACAGCCACTGAAAGCCCGTCATCGTCAGGGGACTATAGCATCCCCAGAACTGTTGTCGGATCTCGAGGCGTAGGGCCTCGTGATACCCCCCGCCCTGCAGGAGGATTAACCCAAACAAGAAGCTGCTCTGCACTGTCCACTGAAGCAGAAAAAGCGTCAAGGCCTTCAGCAACGCCGCCTTCGCGAATTCGGCGGCGGGGGTTAGGCACGGCCGCATGCGTCTTCCAGGCCGTGGGGACATCGCCGAGTAGGTGTACCTATAGTATAGGCGGCGCACGGCCACGTACAGCGCCCAGAGCGGGGCAAACAGCCAGAGAAAGGAGGCCATGCCGGTCAGGCAGAACACAAACAGCGCAGGAAGAAGGACGGCGCCGAAGACGATGAACGCGCTTCCCTGGA